AAAAAAAAAAAAAAAAAAAAAAAAAAAGACTGTGCCATTCTTAAACAAACGCAATCTCAGGGCATTAGAATGTCTAATTCTGTTTACCAATAAATAATCTGCACAGTAGGTTTCAATCCTTTCCCTTCCCAGCTCTACCCTGCCTAAGTTAAACTGTCTGCTTTGAGGAAAGCAGTTGTCCTCCACACCTCCTGCCAACCACTAATTGCTGCTGATTATTCTGTGGCCTAGTACTGAGAGAGAGAGAAGAGGTAAAGTGGTAAAACAGGCCTGGCAGATATTTAAAGGGGTAACCCCCACTACCCTGGGGAAGGTCCGTTACAACTCCCTCCTGAGGGCACATGACATACTCTCCCAGCTTCTTTGTACTGAGGTCTCATTTAGTTCTTCAGAAAGGCCCTACTAGGCTGGCTGTGATGGTGCCCATCTATAATCCCAGCACTCTGGAAGGCTAAGGCGGGAGGATCGTAAATTCAAACCCAGTCGGAGCAACTTAGCAAGACCTTGTCTCAAAAAATAAGAAAGGGAAATAGCTGGTTGTAAGACAATACCATGTATTACAACAAATACTGTGAAATTCATATTAGTTTGTTAAGTAAAATTCTGTATGAGTTGTCAAAAAAAATAATAATTTAAAAAAAAAAAGAAAAGAAAAGAAAGGGATGGGAGTGTAGTTCAGTGTGAAAGCCCTGGTTCAGTCCCTAGTACCTAAACCAAAAAACCGAAAATGGGTAGGACCCAAGAGCAGCCAATGCTTCCTTCTCGTCTGTAAGTGGCACAAAGGAAACCTACAGACATCACCTGCCAGGGCAAATCCAGGGAATGCAGCCCGTGCAAAGCAGCGGCCCTCCCCTGGCCCCACCAGTTAAAACACTGAACTCCTGTTCACCCCGTACATTTCTGTGCAAGAATCGGACACCACGCTCATGGTTCCCCAACTGTACAACACCTCATGCTTTGGGAACAGTCCCAGGGGAGAGCCCCTCAGTAAACTTGAGATAAGAAAGCAGAGACTAATAACACCTTCAAAAAAGGGTCTGGGTTTAACAGACCAGCTCTCCACCGAGAGTAACAAGTTCTCTGCAAAGTAATCTTTCATCTGTCTCCGGCCATCCATTCTCTTTATTTACAAAGCCTTTGTGCTGTCAACGCTGCCAACACTCATACTGTGTGCCCTCGTTCACTCATTCATTCCTTTACTCTCCTAGAAATGATACTTTCTCCAAAACTGCAACCACCTCTCCCCATTCTCACAATCAACAAATAAGTTTCCTGCTTCACTGAGAAAATCAAAGCAACCAGAAAAGAACTTCTGGGACCCTGGGGGTGGGGTGGGGTGGGTGTTAGAAATCTGCATTATAATGAGCCTTGTGGGTGTTTTTAATGCTGCAGTTCAGTCCAACAACCCCCTCCACTCACACTCTCACTTAGCTCTACTCTCACCCCCACTCAATCAGTTTTAGTTACATGAGTTTCCTGTGGCTTGAACAGCACACTGCTGTTCTTAAGGAAATATATTCTGCTCTCTTCAGTTCAGGCTCTCAACGTTAGACCCTGAAGCCCAAGTATAGTCTTGAATAGTTCATCTTGAAACAGGACTGAGCAGTGAGGCACCAGGTCAGAGTAGTCAGAATCAGAGTAGCTCAGAGGGTGCTTGTAATGGGGACTGGGCTGAGAAAAGAAGAACCTGGGGCCCGAGTCAGATCCCGAGAGATGTTTATTCAGGTGGCTGGAGGTCAGAAAAGGCAAAGAGAGAATCTAAATTATAAGGAGGAAAAGCAAAGGAGGAAAGCAGACCCTAGCTGTCCTGCAGAGCATGATAAGCGAACAAAATTGTACAGATCTAGGGATGCATATAACATCGGGGGCAGGAGTACAAACACAGAGCTGTAAGAGGCGCTGTGCGCCCAACAGTAAGACGCTTGGTACTGTCTGGCTCATCTCCATACCCTTGCCCCAGGGAGTGCCAGCCCCATGGACCTGTCCCAACAAGACAAGCCCATGGCAGGCTGGGATGGAAGGTCCAGGAACTCTGGCTACCTGGTGGCCAGCTCCTCTCACCAGCCTCAGCTCACTGAAACACAGAAGCAAGTCTGCCTAGGAGACGCTTTCTGTCTGGGACAAAGTCTCACTAGGTAGCTCCCTTACTAGGCTGGCCTCAAGCTCCTTGTTGATCCTCCTGCCTCAGCCTTCTATGCCCAGCTCCTAGTAGGCTCTTTGGAAGTATCCCACGTTGCCGCCTCCTCTCTGTCTGTCCATCTGCTGCATCACCCTCGTGATGCTGGCACCTAGTCCATCATCAGCATTTACCACTGCCCAGGGCAGCTTCAAAATTCACAGACAAGCCCTCTTCATGATACCAGCCCCCAGGTGACCACCCTTGAGTCTCCCAGGCACTCAGCTCTGTGGCCACACCCTCACCCAGCCACCACCTAAAACTGCTCTGCTTTCAAATCGTAATTCAAATATTCTGACTTCTAACTACAGTAGCCTCTTCTCCCAAGTCACTTGTTCGATTATTCCCATCTAACACCCTACTCCTACTTCCACTCTCCTGCTTGGTCTAGAAAATTCCACACTCCACATAGCCACCACTTAGACCCCAGAAGGCTCAAGCTCCTTTGCTCACTATCCTTTTATTTGAGTTGATGGGAAGAATGCTAGATGGTCCCTTGGTGCTCCTCTTCTACCATCACCATATTCTTGTGTAGGTGGGAATGACCATATCACAAGGTAGGTTGGTATAGCTACAATTTCATGAATAACATCATTATAAATTCACAAAGATGATCATTACTCAGCATTAATCACCCCACTGAAAACTTACTTCTCTCTCATCTACTATCATCATTCCTGGTTCATGCTGAGCCATCTTTTCTCATTATAACCCTAGATATCTTACTATTTATTCCTATGACTTTACTAGCTCTAATAAATCCCCAAATCCCTAGCACAGATCCCATAAATCAGTTGCTTGTTTCCGAGAAAAATTTTCTCCTAGACAGTTCAATACATTGTACTGATCTTGAGCCCCTGGGCTCAAGCAACTCTTCAGCCTCAGCCTCCTGAGGAGCTGGTACCTGAGTAGCTGAGTACCTGAGGAGGCATATAATTGTCTCCACCTTGTTCCTCTAACGACGATCTAAAACCCAACACGTTGAGTGGCATCCCCAGTCCACTCAGTTGTTCAAGCCAGAAACCTAGAATTTACTTCAGATCCCTTTCAACTGTTTTAACAGTCCACCAACTCAAACTACTATAGTCCAGAGTGGCCTCAACACATACCTGCCACCTGGGCTTCTGCAGCACTGCTCTCTCTTTAACTCCACTTGAGCAGACCCTGTCATTTTTTATCCTTCCCTATGTAGATAAATCTTGCACCTCAAGTGACAAGCTCTGGGAATATAAAGGTAAATATGGTTTCAGAAGAATGTAGCCAAATACACAAAGCAGCAATAACATCATATTAAATGCTAAAAGAGTATGCTTCACATAGTACTTTTGAGAACCCAGATGATGAATTGATTCTGCCCTGGGAGTAGAGAGTACAAAACAACCAGAATGTTTAGGAAGATGACAGGTACTCAGGAAAGACGAGCACCCGCCAAGGCACCATGTCGTGTTAGCTGAATGGTTCACAGCCAGCCTCCACATCTGCCCTTTGACCTACAGCCTGTTTCAGAATCTCCAACCTTTTACTGGAGGCACCCAACAGCCTCCCAAGTAGAACCTATGTCTTCTCCATGGGCACTTGTTCTTGGGAACAAATAGGAGAGGCCATGACTTTATAAGTCTATAGCAGCTCTGCTGGGGGAGGCCTGAGATCCATCATCCTGCCCCATCCTGCCCTAGCACTAGCTCTCCTTACCTATTGCTTTCCTAAGACTTGCTAACTTGGCTTTACTACAAGGCAAAAAGAATGAATGAACCCCTTTGCCAATGAGCTCCCCAAACTCTCACCCCAAAACGTCATCAACCAGTTGTGTATGAACACAAACTCAGCTCCCTCACGATGCCCCTCCTCTAAGAAAAGCTTGGAATCCATTAAGAGTTTCCACACACAGTACCGCGTGAGCCTTTTCAAAGGCCTTTCTCAAACTCTCCCAGAGATTCCTTCAGTTAACAAACCCACTTTCCCTCGTTCAACCTCCAGCCTGGTCCATGGAGTCTTCAAAGAACAATAAGGGTTACAACACATGATACCCACAGCCAGTTTATTGAGCACCTCATGTGTTCCCAGACCTAACTATAGATTTTTCTCCAATAACATACACAACAATGCTGTAAGACAGGAATTCTATCATTTTCCTAATGAAGAATGCATTACTCAGACATTAAATGGCTCTCAGCTATAAGGAGCAAGTTGGGATCAGAACTACCAAGGAGCAAGAGCTTCCTGTTTGTGGTCTTATAGGTCTGGGCACTATGAATCTGCAGGAGCAGAATACAGGTGAACGGAGGCTGCTCAGTATAGATCAGAAGAGCAGAGAGGTCAAGACAAAATGTGTCCTCTGAGAGATGCAGAGAGGAGCCACAGTCAAAAAGCCTTCAATTCTGAACCACTTTAGGTGATCCATGATTTCCAGTTATCCCCCTGTTCCTCCTTACTGCTGAGCTTGCTCAAGTGACTTTAGGCTTCTTTCAAACTGAGACGGCTTCCCTGGAGAACAGCTGAGCCAGGGATTTCATCACACCTTGTTCTGGGGACAGAGGAACGGTAGCAGCAGGTCCTGGCTCACAGTCTGACTACATACAGTCTTCAGAGTCTTCAGCCTGGAGTCTGGGTGCTGCCTCTCCTTTCAAGGGGTGTTTAGAGGTCACCTTCGCTTGTAGAGACATGGTTGAAGTTTCAGGCCTGTAAGTTGAGCCTTGGGCCCTAACCGAGGGGGGCCTGTCTTTTCAAAATCAAACAAGAAGAAGTGGCTGTTGCTCAGGTCCTAGGGGCAGAAAAGACCCAATGAGCTCCAAATCTTCACCCCAATCCCTCAAAACACCTCCCTCCATGTCAGAAAGCTTTTGAAGGCCCCTAGTGTTGGGTCTTTGTCTGTTCCTGTCCCCATGGCCTCTTTCCTGAACACCATTCTCCTGAAAGGGGCCACAAATGAGATAACTGATAGCGATCGATTTCTTAGAGCTCTCACCTTGGAGATGACCTTGAAGCCCAGCTTGGCAACAGCTCCCAGAAAGGTCCGAACATCCTCAAAGCGGCTACTGACCTCAGCCACTTTCAGGAGGCCCCTGAAAAAGTAGGAAGTTCTGTGTTAAGTGGACAGACAGGAACACGCACATATAAAGGCACCTGTGTCCTGCAGCTCCTACCCTGGCTTTAGCACTCGATTTGCCTCCTCCAGGAAATCCCTGATATTGGTTCCCATCAGCGAAAGACAAAACACAGCCACGTCCACGGACTCATCCCCCAGAGGCACCTGTGTAAAGTATGGGAGTGTGGAATGAGACACATAGCACCAGAAGGAAAAATGTGGCACTGAATGCTAGAATTGGATACCAGAATGAGGAGGGAGGAGAAGGAAAGATTAGGGCACAAAGCAGATACACAGAGGGATTTACCTGGGCCATGTCACACACAGTGACCCTGGGGTCCAGTGAAGCCAAGTCAAAGCAGTGTACAGGGTTCCGGATACTTGAAGCTAGGCGGCAATCCCCACAGCCAAAGTCAGCCACTACCAGAGATGCAGGCCTGGGAGTGGAAGGGAGGGGTCACACACTGGTGTGGTCTGAGCCCCTAAATGACCCAAACTGCTTCTCACAGTGCCCAACCCCCATTCACCGCTGCCGAAGATCCCTGATGATGCGGTCTACTGGTTGCAGTGGCCACTTCTTCACTTGGCTTTGGAAGCCACGATGGTACAGGAGAAAAGCCTCAGGGTCCTCTTGGAAGAGGCGTTGCGCAGCACTGCTGGGCCCAGAGTACAGCTGCTCATTAAGGTAGCGAAATCGGGCCCCATCCAACCGCTGTGTCATGCGGGCGCGCAGGGCCTCTGCCCGAGCCTCATGGTTGTCCGGTTTGGGGCTAGGAGGCACCTCTGACTCCCCTGTAGCAGCAGTGGAGGCCTCAGCAGAAATCTTGTCTGGTGCCTGGAGTGGTCGAAATTTGTTCTTGTGTCTCCGCTTGTTTTTCTGGCGGTTCCGCCACTGTTTCCGAGTTAAGGTATTATGGGGCTTAGGGGAACTAGACCCAGAGCTTGGCTTGGGTAAATCATCTGCAGTACTACTCTTCTTGGATTTGTGACCTGCAGGGAAGGAGATGGGAAGGTGTTATTTCAGACACAATTCCCAAATTCAGAGTGTTATGGCCATAGTCATCATGGCCATAGTCTTGTCCTTGAGATAGAGGCTGTGGCCTGGAACAGTACTATTGCCTACACAATCCTAAAGGTGGCGGAAAACCTCTGCTGTACGTACACCCAGCGGACACTCCCATCCATACACATACCCATCGGTACCTGTTCGGTCGACACTGTCTAGGTGCTGGTCTGGGTTTGAAAGGGCCTGTTCCGGACATTTTCTCTTTCTTTTCTGTCCTTTGGCAGAGTCACTACCCAGAAGATCTTGTTTGCAGCATTTCTTCTTTTCTATTTCATGCTCCTCACTATCACCATGAGGTGGGCCCAGTGTTTGACATTTTTTCCTTTTCTCCCCTACTTTGGCACATGGAGACTTTTTGGGGTGTTTCTTCTTTCTTTCTATTTCTTCCTCAGAGTCACTGCTGGGGAGGCTGGTGGACTGCTGGGAAAGAGATGCTGCTTCCAGAACTCGTAAGGTGGCCAAGAGCTGGCGGCGCCTGGAGCCCTACAGGAAAGCAAGGATTGAGAGTGGGGCAAGGAGAATGGGTGAGAATAAGGGAGACAGGGACCTGGATCAGAAACTTTCCTAGTTAATCTAACTAGCTTGTTGTGAAGCCTGCCAGACCTAGAAGAATTTTCAGGTTGCCATCTCAATCTCTAGAAGCTAGTGGCAGAAAAGTCATCTATCCATTTCAACATGTGATTGGTAATGGAGCTTCTCCACAGAAAATGTGCTATGGGTACACACAGTCAGACTAAAGTGAGACCAGGAGTTCCAGCCCTCCCTTTCAGGCCTTTGCTTCCAGGTGGTCCTGTTCTGTGTCAGGCATAGAGGGTTCTTGAATACAGGAGAAGCAGCATCATGTGTGTGTGAACATATTCCCACAGGCTTGAACCACCTGGGTGAGTGTCCCATCAGGTGGTCCATATTATTGGTGGGACAAATGGATCTAATCACTCATGGATCTGTTTGCTAATGAAAGGCCTCTCAGCAATGAGACATAAGAATTACTGCCCCATCACCAACTTGTCATTAATAATGTCTCCAGATACAGCACAGGGAACACCCAAGGGGAGAAGCTGCACACAGGGACCAGATGCCTGGCCCACAGTTGGGCTGCGGGGATGAAAAGGAGGAAACAAAGCAGGCACACTCCCTATACAGGCTAAGATTAAAAAAGCTTAAGAAAATAGAGTGGTCCTCACATCTGCTGAAGGGAAATGTCTATAGCTTGGGAGGTGAAAATGAGAGTAAGGGCCGGCGAGATAGCTCAGCAGACTAGGTGCCTGTTTGGGCAAGCTCAGGGACCGGCATTCAATCCCTGGTACCGAATGCCACACTGGGCCCTGCCCCTGGGGTGCAGTGAGCCAGTCACCGAGACCAGGCATGGTGGCACATACCCGTAATCCCAGTGCTTGGGAGGCTGAAAACAGGAGGAACACTACGAGTCTGAGCTGCGTAGTGAGAACCTGTACCAAATACATACATTTAAAAAAATATGGAAATTAAAACTCTAGGGGAGTTAGTCCTAACTGTGACACTTAAACTTGGAATTTCAATTGCACCAACCTCCCTTGAATAGTAACGCTGACAACCTTCCCTGGCCACCCAGTCTTTTACCAATCTATTCTCCAGATCACAATCCCAAATCTTTCCAAGGCTGGTGGTGTAGCTCAGTGACAGAACACTTACCCAGCATACCTGAGGTCTTGTTGACACCCAATGGAGAAAATGGGCCGCGGGTGAGGGGTGCCTTTTCAATACAATTCAATACAAGCTCAAAGTAACCACTCCATTGCCAGAAGCAGTTTAAAGCATGCAAATTTTCCAATCTACCCCTTCAATTCCAACAGCATCCTCTCATTTACTGCGCTCCAACCCATGGGAAACGTCTATGTGCGTTTCCCCAATGGGGCATTCTTTCTTGCCAGAGGGCCTTTGCACGTACCCCTCCCAAGGAACACTGTTCTCCGCACCAATTTCTCACCAACGATTTCAGCTTCAACGTTATTTTCTTTCTGGTATGGCCAGAACTGAAGAGCTGGCCTCCGTAGGGGCCCCTTGCTCCAGAGCAGACCGGAGCGTTCCCGGCGCCGGGATCTGCCGGAGTCTGACAGCGCCCGTCCCGCTACTGGTACTCACCTTGATTTGCGCGGCTGCCGCGGGCCGAGGCCGTGAGGTTACGGCACTGAGGCCCACGACCGCTGGGGCCGCCTCGGCCCACTCAGGCTCCTCGAACATGCGGGTCGCGAGGGCGGAGTCGTAAAACCTAAAGTCTTCTCCACGTGCTCAACGCGACTTCCTCAGCTCTGAGCCGCCACAAACGCGCCAGGAAAGCCAGAAACCAAAAAGTAAAAGCTGCCGGCGGCTAGAGTGTCCGGCGCGGCACGGAAAACCATCGAGTGTACACACTCTCGGGCTAGAAGGGCAACGGAGGCGGTCGGAAGGGAGGGAAGGAGGACCCGCGCCGGCCAAGGAAGGCCAGGGGCTGGGCGGGGCCGGGTGGCGGGCGCGGCCGGACGGGAGTTCCCCAGAGAAGCGCCTCCAGCCCGAGTCCCGGTGAGTGCAGACGACCCGCGCCCCCTGCCCAAGACTGCGTCTTGGCCAGCCCGTCTCTCTGTCTCTCCGCCGGAGCCCCAAGTAGGGAACGGGCGCAGACCTCGGGAGGGACCCCCGCCCACTAATCCGGGTGTACGGAGCCGGAGCCACCCCCTCCCCCAGGCTGTTTGCGGGTTGGGTCTCGGAGTGGTTCTCCTGCGTCGGTTCTGGAGATTCTGCCTCGGGATCACCCCTACCCTGCCCGGACTCGTCTTCCTCGGGCACCCAGGGAATCATCCCATTGCCCCAAACTCTACAGAGCACCCCTAGCCGGGGATGCAATACCCATCCGCCTGCAGCATAAACACTACTTTGCTGTAGGGGACAAAGTGGGGCTCATCCTTCTTTCCTGGGTCTCCTACTATCTACAGTCCCCAGGCTTCCCCAGGCTCGGGGACTCAGCGCAGGGACTGCTATGGACGACATTTTCACCCAGTGCCGGGAGGGCAATGCTGTGGCCGTGCGTCTGTGGCTGGATAACACGGAGAACGACCTCAACCAGGGGTGAGCTGAAGCGGCTGGTGGGCGAGAGAAAAGCTAGAGGTCTTCCTAATGCCACCCGGGTGCTCAGGTCTGGTTGCCATCCAGCATGACGGAGTGCAGGGACCCGAGAGGGTCTCCAAAGAGGAAGCGGCGTTTGCGCTGAAACTTGATTCTGAATAAGTTTCACAAGCAGAGATTACAAAGAGCTTTCTAGCCTCAATGGACTGCATGGGAAAAGGTCAGGAAGCAAGACAGATTGGAAAGTGTCAGGAAATTTTCTGGAATTTGGTGCAGCTACAGGATAAATCTCTGTGGGCTGGAGCATTGAGTTTAAGTGGAAGACAGGACAGGACATAAAGCTGGGGAGATACACAAGGGTCATCCCATCCAGTTTATGCTTTAAGAGTAAAGTGGCATTTTTTCATTTTTTTATTGGTGCATTTCAGATATACATAGCAAGAACATTCATCATATAGAATTTGTAGCTATAGATGTTACCTTGCTTTTTTTCCCCCTATTCTTTTCCTCTCCCTTCATCTCCTTCTCCTCATATCCAACTTTACAAAGCTTTGCCAAGAGTAAGTTTTGAGACTGCATATTGCTTTGAGATTACTCCCTTGCAGAAGAACATGAAAGGCAATTGCCAGGGGCCGGGGAGATGGCTCAGTAGGATAAGCGCTTGACTGGCAAACGCAAGGATCTGAGTTCAATCCCTGGTTCCGCAAAAAAAAAAAAAAAAGAAAGGCAATTGCTGCCCAGGCCATCATAGCCATGCTGCTGTTTTTGACCAGATTTCTGGAACTGAATTGCTTGTCAAAAATAAGCAATTCAGTTCGATTTTTTTTTTTTTTTAATGAGATAGTCTTGCTATTACTTCAGGTGGACCCTGTCTGTTCCTGGCCTTGAAGTCATGACAGTCCTCTTGCCTCAGTGTCCTGAGTGCTGGGATTACAAGCCTGCACCACCATACCTGGCCCAGAAATCCAAAGGTTAAATTAATGGATTTGGCATGGAAAGTGAGGAAGGTCAAAGGTGATGACCAAGATTCTGGCTTGAGTACTTGGATAGGTTGTAGTTGCATTTACTGAAATGGAGACAATTGAAGCATAAGGTGTTGTGTTCTGGATATGTTAAAGTTTGGGGACAACACAACTTGGAAATGTTAAGTAGGTTGTTGGTTATGCAGCTTTGCAGTTCAGGAGAGATTTGACTTCTAGACACAGATTTGGGAAGTATTAGTTATTAGCAGATACATGATACCCGAAGACATTCATGTGAAAATAGAATAAAAGACAAGAGGATATAGGGTGAGAGAGGCCAGGAAGACTGAAAAGGAACGACCTGAGGATGAAGAAATAGAAAATGTGTGAATAAAGCTTAGACAATGTTTTAAACAAGCAGCAGAGTGGTCAGCAGTAGTGAAGGCTACTGAGAGGTCAAAGTAGAGTACTTTAATGATACCACTGAACTTACAATTGGGATATATTTGATAATCTCTGTGAGTGCTATTTCAGGTGAATAGGTTAAGGGCCAACCCATATTAGGTCCCTTCAATTGAAGGTCTGTATACTAGGTAGACTAGTACCTGTGCTGAAGCTAGTCCCTGCTGGAATCGGATATAATCTGTGCCCTCAAGGTGGCAGACTTGTGGCAGGTTAAAAAGTGAATGGGAGGTAAGGATAGAGAAAGTAAATGTGAACAAGCTTTTAAATGTTGAACAAGACAGGGAATTAAGTTTTTTGAGATAGATTTTAATTTTTTAAGCATTTGTTTTGGGAGCTGGCATTGTTTTGGTTTTTAGGTTTGAGCAGTCAGGATCAACTGTCATGCTAGTCTGGGCTGCACTGGTCCCCTTGAGGCTTATGCTATTTTTCTTTAATATGCAAGGTAATTAGCTTGTTTTAATTCATTCATAGAGTACTCTGATAGCACTGTTACTATTTTATGGATAAGGAAACAGAGGCCTAGGAAAAGTTTCCCGTTGCGACTGGCATCTTGTTGACTCACTTCCAAATGGTGAAAAGCTGACACTAGTGAGATTGAAGGGTTCTGGTGCTAAGTTGAGGGGATAGGGTGTGTGCCCTCAAGCTGGTTCTGTTCTGGATATAAGGAGATGGTTAATTCCCTGATGGCCTCTTTGAGACACAAGCCCAGGCCCTGAAGGGGCAGGTAACCTGAGAATGAGCAGAACCCTTCTGCTGTCTGGCTTGGGCCTGCTGTGGAATAGTCTGCTGGAGGCTGATAAGTCAGGACACAAATTAAAGTTCTGAGAAACAAGACTGACTGATAAACTAGGGATGTTGCTGCTTCCGGGGATGCTCACATCTGGCAGAATATTTTTGGCTATTTGTGTGAACAGACGAAGGCAAGCTGTGGAGGGGAAATGTTGAATCTCTCTCTCTCTCTCTCTCTCTCACACACACACACACACACACACACACTCTTCCCCCGCCCCCCTCCCCTCTCTCCAGCTTGGGAGACATCTGGGTAGCAAAAGCTCTGATGAGCTCCAGGCCCTGCCTAGAGCCCCCACATGGGAAGTGACCGCAGCACTAAGGCATCCGGTGGCTGCTGGCCCAGACCATGGACCGCCCCCCTGCTCCGCCCCTTGCATCTGCAACCCAGGACTGGAGGAAATTTCCTTTTATGGCTCTAGGCTGTCAGGCTGACCAGCTCCCACCCAGTTGTTTTGTTTGTATACTTTTACTTTACAAAATTCGTGTCCTTGGGAAAAGGAAAAAAAAAAAAAAAAAGGTGTAGTCTTCATTCTAAAACAGCTAGTTTCATTTTCTTCCAGGATTGCCAAGTAGAATCTTGTTTTGTGTGGTTATTGGCCTCATCAGTAATCAAAAGCATCTTTTTATTATAAACCCTCCTGAAACATTTTAATTCTATTCCATTTTTAGATATTAGTTTTTGTACTAGAGATAAACAATAAGCTTTTTCCTCCTCTCCCATGAGATACGCCCTCCAAAATACCCCTCGTCCCCATTAATATGTAGTCATCACCTGCTTATACTCCAACAGGAAAAACAGTCCACTATTCAGTTTTCTAATCAAGTGCAACAAGGGCTGTAGTAGGGAGATACAAAAAACAGTGGAATACAAAGGGTAATAGACATTACAAAAAAAGTGTAGGGGAAATTTCAGAAACAGTGCTACCACCTCGTGGAGAGATGAAAATAATCTTACTGGAGTTGTCAGGATGACTTGGTGTGAAGCTCAGGGGAAGGTCTGAATTGTAGCTTTTCCGAATTGCTAGCAGAACTAGCAACCAGTGAGGTAAGCCATCCCCAAAGAATACAGTATAAGTTTTTTAACCATGCAGAGCCTTTGCTTCATCCTACTTCCAGCTTACTGACCATTAGCCCTTTCCTAAAGGGATGATCACGGTTTCTCCCCCTTGCACTGGGCCTGTCGAGAGGGCCGCTCTGCTGTGGTTGAGATGCTGATCATGCGGGGAGCGCGGATCAATGTGATGAACCGTGGGGATGACACCCCCCTGCACTTGGCAGCCAGTCACGGACACCGTGATATTGTACAGAAGGTAGGTACAAACTCTTCTGTTACCCACATGATGTACTCCCTGAGGTCAATCACAGGCACTGTAATGTAAATTTGTAGTTTTTCTTTGTCCTATGCTTACAATGGTCTCACTTGGGACTATCTCTTGCTTCTTTCTGGCCCAGCTGTTGCAGTACAAAGCTGACATCAATGCAGTAAATGAGCATGGGAATGTGCCCTTGCACTATGCCTGTTTTTGGGGCCAAGACCAAGTGGCAGAGGTGAGTACTTTGGCCCAAGTCTTGGGATGGGTGGGAAGCAGTGAATTTTGAACCTCCAAATGGTCCTGTCATTGCTACTGTGTAACACTCCCATGTGTTTATGGTTGGTTGTGACTGCAAAGTGGGTAGCAGGGGCCTCTGTCATAACCACCTCTTACTCATTTTAGGACCTGGTGGCTAATGGGGCCCTTGTCAGCATCTGTAACAAATATGGAGAGATGCCCGTGGACAAAGCCAAGGCACCCCTGAGAGAGCTTCTCCGAGGTCTATCTCCATCCCTAGCTTGTCTGTCTTGCCCTTTCTTGGGTGTCTACTCCCTCCATACTGTAACTCAGGGTAAGACTGTTTTTCTTCCCCAGAACGAGCAGAGAAAATGGGCCAGAATCTCAACCGTATTCCATACAAGGATACATTCTGGAAGGGGACCACCCGTACTCGGCCCAGTGAGTCATTATGGGAGGAGGGACTATAATAGAGAATACTGGGCTCCCGGGGATGGGTTAGGGCCAAATTGGGTACCTGACCTACCCCCACTCTCAGGAAATGGGACCCTGAACAAACACTCCGGCATTGACTTCAAACAGCTCAACTTTTTGGCAAAGCTCAACGAGAATCACTCTGGAGAGGTGACCCCTGCCCTTCTTGCCCCTTCTACCCTAAACCCCCACAAATTATCTACTCTGCACCTGTTTTTAAGTTTTTCTTGCACTTCCTGGGCAAGAATATGGTGTCTTAAAAGCCTGCTAACCCCTGTCCTATCCTTCAGCTATGGAAGGGCCGCTGGCAGGGCAATGACATTGTTGTGAAGGTGCTCAAGGTTCGAGACTGGAGTACGCGGAAGAGCAGAGACTTCAATGAGGAGTGCCCCCGACTCAGGTGGGCAAGGCCTGAGCTAGCAGCTGCTGGTTCCAAGGAACCCTGAATGGCTTGGAGAGAGGAGCTCCTTTATACTGGGTCTTAGCCAGGGCTACTCTTTTCGTCTCCCAGGATTTTCTCGCATCCAAATGTGCTTCCAGTATTAGGTGCCTGCCAGTCTCCACCTGCTCCTCACCCTACCCTCATCACACACTGGATGCCATATGGTTCACTCTACAATGTACTACATGAAGGCACCAGTGAGTAGGGATGCTGGTCTCATTGGGAAGAGCTAGAGAAGGAATACACAAGCCTCTCTCAACTGACTCTCACCACCTCTTAGATTTCGTCGTGGACCAGAGCCAAGCGGTGAAGTTTGCTTTGGATATGGCAAGAGGCATGGCTTTCCTACATACACTAGAGCCCCTCATCCCACGACATGCACTTAACAGCCGTAGTGTCATGGTGAGACTATAGGTTCATTCCTGGTTTGGGCCCCCAAAAATCTCTTCCATATCTATTTCTGTGTGTGTGGTAACAGGAATCGAACTCAGGACCTCATGTTTGCCAAGCAGGTGCTTGTGCCACTGAGCTACGTTCCCCAACCCCTCTTTTTCATATCTAAAGTAGGACTCACCTCCTTCCATATATCTTCTCTTCCTTAGATTGATGAGGACATGACTGCCCGAATCAGCATGGCCGATGTCAAGTTCTCTTTCCAGTGCCCTGGGCGCATGTATGCACCTGCCTGGGTAGCCCCTGAAGGTGGGTGAGGATATGGCAGGAAATAGAGAAAGCTGAGCTCAGTAATAATGGAAGGGGCAGAGAAATGACAGGGTAGGCAGCTGCAACAGACGAGCCCTATCTCTCCAGCTCTGCAGAAGAAACCTGAAGACACAAACAGACGCTCAGCAGACATGTGGAGTTTTGCAGTGCTTCTGTGGGAACTGGTAACACGAGAGGTACCCTTTGCTGACCTCTCCAATATGGAGATTGGAATGAAGGTAAGCGCAGAATTGTGCACAACTGTACTGGGGGGATGGTGGTGGTGGTAACAATAGTGGGCCTATGCTCTTCCCATATTTGTTCAGATCCTCAGTAATCCTGTGGAAGGGCTAAGGACTTCTACCACACAACAGATTCAAATTCTGAGGCTTACTCTTTTTTTTTTTGTATTTTTAGGTGGCACTGGAAGGTCTGCGGCCTACTATTCCACCGGGCATTTCTCCCCATGTGTGTAAGCTCATGAAGATTTGCATGAACGAAGACCCTGCTAAGCGACCCAAGTTTGACATGATTGTGCCTATCCTGGAGAAGATGCAGGACAAATAGGACTGGGAGTTCCTTGCCTGAACTTCAGAGGTGTCGAGACATGGTTGGGGGAGTGCAACTTCCTATTGCAGCGTGCCTTTGGCTGCCTCCCCTGCCTCCAGTCATGGTACTACCCCATCGGTGGGGCCCATCCCCTGACCCCATCCCTACCACTGTGACCCCGAAAGGGCTTGGCCTCAGAGCTTTGTCACTTGCCACAAGGTGTCTCCCGGCATGGGAGGGATCAGCCCCGCCTGTCACAATAAAGTTTATTATGAAAACAGGCTGGTACGGGGACATGGGGACAGATAGGTACACCTGGTTGTGTGGCTCAGGTGAAATAGTGCGGCTTCTTCACATTGATGCCATACTCGCTGAGGGCAGGGGTCAAGTCCTCCATGGTTAGTGTGTACTTGCGGTCCTGAGGGAAGAAGAGAGCACCAGCTGAGCACAGAAATCCCAGATTCCAGTCCCAAATGGATGACCCTGAGTAGGCATACCTCCCCTAGGATGCAGCTTCCCCAAAGGGCCATTAGGATAAGTAAAACCTGCTGCTGTACAGGGTACTGATTCATTGAACCTCTGTCCACACCTTGCTCTTGCTCCGGGAGCTGCCCGAGGCCGTGCCCTTCATTTTGCAGTGCTGTAGGGCATCATTGGCAATATCTGAGATGAATTTCTGGGCAGCCAGGGAAATGAGCCGAATTCTAGAGAAGAAAAACTGGTATGAGAAAATGACCGCAAGTTGCACAAGCACCCAGGCTCTAACCTGCCCTGGGTTTACTCACATGCGTGGGTCTGAAGCTTCAAAGCCAGCACGGTTCAGGTAGTAACCAGTCACTGCATCTGGGATCTGAGAAATCAGACAGCCATCAGTGTCAACCCAATGCCCTGCTGGGCTGAGCGTGGGAAGAGGGCTGGGAAGTTAAAAGCCTGCTAATCTGGAAGCTCAGTTCGGGTATGCAGAGGAAATAAGACAACTAGAAGGGGGTGGGGAAGGGGCATCCCTGGAAAACACGGCAGAAAAGTTGGGCACGTTCAGGCAGGAAGCCCACCGTGGGCGTATAATCCTCCAACTGCATCAGGAAGTCCACCAGAGGCGTGCTGGACACCACGGGCTTCACATCTCCGTTGGCCGCGCTCGGCAGTACATAGACCCCGTTGGACATTGCCCCCTCCGGGGGCGCCGCGCCGCCCGCCGACACTGGAGCTGGAGGAGAAACAGCAAACCGTTGACTGAGACACGAAGGTGGGCGGCGTAGGGCCCTTCTAGGCTGCCCTGGACCCTGTGCCCTCAACCGCCGCTAGGCGCAGTCAAGGGCGCGTCCCTCACCCGGCCCGACCCTCACCAGCCCCGCGCCGCTCCGCCGGCTCGCCGGCCCGCGCGGCCACGGGTCCCGTGCCCGCAGTCGCGGCTCCG